TAATAGATGCAGGGGTTAAGATTCTTTTTGAACTATATTTAAAATATCTAAACCAAAAAGAACAGACAAAGACTTGTGCCATGGTCATTAGGAAAACAAAACAAAAAATGTTTTTATCCACAATTGTGACACAGACTTACTACTAATACATACATTTTACTAAGTTGAACAGGATAGAAGTATCACAGCCTTAGTTCCTTGAGTAACAAAAAAATTGCTTACTATCATTTAACAGTTAACAGTAATAATATGGTTTGATTAGTTGCATGCTTAAAGGGATTTCCACATATAAAAATGGAGACTAGAGATTCTTCTTTAGACTCCTCGATCACCTTTTTATAGATAATGAACAGTCAGATTTCATCAGCACACTGTTCTAGGTGAAAGGAGACACTGATCATTAAAGGTATAACAATCTCTTTGCAAGGGTAAGGACTAGCTATTGCTTATAAAAGGGTGTTTGAGGCTGGGATCCATACAAGGTTACAAATCAAGGTTGGCCTCTTAAAAAAAGGGACGTTACACTATATAAAAAGTTGTCTCTTAATTCAGTCTCTGCCATGCATCGAACCTTTACCCGTGTAATCAACAGAAGCACAGAGATTATGTACCAGACAAAAATCAACAAATGTATGTATGTTGAGTGGGATGCTATGTCAGATTTCACCTGGCATCACTCACTGCTAAAATATAAACTGCATAAACAGTCCAGGAAAAAAAAAAAAAAAAGCAGGTGTACAGGGCTATATATCAGGGGTGTCAGTTATGTATAACAGGAAATCCCCTTTAAAGGCATTAAACACCAAACCACACTGTACATTTATACAGCAGAAAACATTTTGTAGGCCTTTAAAAAAATATTTGTAAACATATTTCCAAAGTTTCTAATATGTTAAGTACAGATAGTCTTACAGGTATGGTGTGGGCGCCATTAGAAATGTGCCATAACATAAGCCAAAGCACAGCATTTTAGCAAAGCATGAAAAAGTGCATTTTTCTGGAGAGCCAAATGGAAAAAAAAAAAAATCTAAACTTTTCAACCAATTAAAACTACAGAAAGAGAAAAACCCTCAACCATTCAAAAATCCCCCCAAAACTGTTGACAATGTTGTACACCTAAGATTCTTTCATTGAAAGTTTATTAAAATATGAGCAATACAAATGATCCAGGCTGAGGATCAAAAAAAAAAACAAGTCCCAAAATACAAGTCTAACTAGAATGTATTACTCGGTTTTATTGTCAACACTGTTGGGACTGGACTGACTATTTAATCTTTGTTCCTTTGAACGGGATATACGTCTCTCACGACTTCGTGATCTTTTACCATTTTCCTTATCATGCGAATATCTCCTAGATTTTTCCGTCTCCACTTCTCCCATGGGATGATCGGTCCCCTTTGGAAGTGCTATGCACTGTGTTGGAGTCCGGACTCGTATGATTTCGGCTAGATTTTCTGGTTCGTTTACTGTCTGGACTGCTGCTCCGGGACAATTTTTTTTTGTGGCCTTCACGCTCTGGGGACTTTTTTGGAGAGCCTTTTTTCCCATCTTTCTTTGCCGAGTCCTTGTTTTTGCTCTGACTGGTCTCGCGATCGGAAGATCTGGAGCCATCCAGGCTCCTACTTCTTTTGCTTCTGGACCTGTCTGGGGTCCTTTTTCGATCTCTGCTTCTGGACCGACCCCGTCCCTTGGATTCTTTCTCTTTGCTTTTTGCACGATCCCGACTTCTGGCTTGGTTGCTGTCCCGGCTTCTTGACTGAGCGCTTCTGGTGTTTTCTTTGCTTTTGCTTCTCTCTTTAGCGGTGCTGTTAGATCTACGTTTTGTATTCACAGTTTCGCGTTCCATGCTCCTTGCTTTTTCATGCCTATCTTTACTCTTTCTTCTTTCCTTGCTTTTACCACGTTCCTTACTTTTCATTCTTTCCTTGCTTTTACTTCTATCCCGTTCCTTATTTTTCATTCTTTCCTTGCTTTTACTTCTATCCCGTTCCTTATTTTTCATTCTTTCCTTGCTTTTACTTCTATCCCGTTCCTTACTTTTACTTCTAACCTTCTCTTTGCTTTTTATTCTTTCCTTACTTTGACCCCTTTCTTTGCTTTTCCTCATCTCTCTACTCCTTCCTCTATCTTTGCTTTTTACTCTGTCCTTGCTTTTACTTCTACCCCGTTCTTTGCTTTTACTTTTTGCCACTTCATTTTTTGACTTGCTGTGCTTTGCCTTCTCCTTACTTCTGCTTCTCTCTTTGTCCTTAACTTTGTTGTCCAAGTTTCTTTCTTTTTCTCGTTCATGTCCTTTTTCCTTGCTTCTTGACCTGGTCTTACCGCGTTTGCTGTGCTTAGTATCCCTCTTGCCCTTAGTGTCATCTTTACTTTCACTCCGGCTGTCTGATTTTGTCCTTTTTCCGCTCCAAGATTTCTCCTCCTTTTCGGCAAGTTTTTTAGACTCCCTTTCCTTGCTGCTTGATTTATGATCTTTGCTTTTCTTCCCATGATCTGCTGTTGTACTTGGACTCTCGGACGGAGCTCTTTGGTCAGACTGTTTCCTCTCCCTTCCTCGTACTGGACTTTTTTGATTGTCTGGTTCATTCATTTCACTTCTGCAAAGATAAACAAACTGCAGTGTAATTACCGGAGAAAGGACAACACATGCTACAACAATTTTCAGAGAAATCTTTTGATATAAAGGCTGTCTCACTGAGGTCCAAACTTTCACCATTGCTGAAGAGCATCTATGTATAATACAGAAGTATCCTTGGCATGCCTCAGAGATTTATCAGGAGACTAAATTGTAAATTTCTCTAGCATCTCCACCTGTAGATGAAACTTGATATTGCAAATCAGACAAGAGTTGGGTCATGCCCTCCATGTTCCAAGAGATAATCTACAATGGCAATTTTGACCTCCTGATCTTGATTGGATTGGTGATGGTTTCCCAAAAGCAGTTAAACATCTAATTTATAAAAACACATTAAAATGAATATGCTGCCAATTAGGAGATTGCCAACAAGCTCCATCATTCAGTGAGCAAGATATTAAAGCTACCTTGGCCAAATAAATGGTAATTTCAGCTCAGCCAAGGCAACATTTTCAAAAAGAAGACAGACTTACAACTACATAGTTACATAGTATTTGAGGTTGAATAAAGACATTAGTCCATCAAAACCAACCTATTAGAATCTCATTCTAGGAGTACCTGTACCCCTGTATATTACGGTCCCTTAAGAAATCGTCCTACATTATATCCCTCTAGAGAAAAGCTGTGATCCATAAGCTATGAAGGTTAAAAATTAATCTGGAACTCTTACACTGAGATCAGATATATTTCTTCATTTCTCCGATCTTAAAAGAGACAGATGTGTTTCTACATTCTAAAACACTGATAAAACATACTTGTGAAATAAGACTTCTGTTATATATGAACACTGATCGTTTTATTGCCATATTGCTTTTAGATTCATCCAAAAAGAATAGCATGCTGAAGCAAAATGACAAACAATACGCTCTGCATCTCCAGCAGAAACTACTACATGGACAGAGCTGAAAGCTCTAGCTGTGAAGATTTACTGTTAAACCAGAAATCTAAGACCCAAAAGTGATATTTCAGGTTTCGGTCCTAATATTTTATTTGCATTTTAATTTGAACTTGCTAATGTTTCTGTGAAAGATTTATTATATCTAAAGATTTGCACACTGCAGTTTCTAGGTCAGCGCACCTGCTGTGGTAAAAACAAGGAGGTCCAGCTCTTCCTTTTTTATGACGGAAGTAAGAGGATTAGAATTACCCATATTGTAGTAAGAGGACCGCTAAGTCTCTAAGAGATACAAGTATCCAGAGGTGACCCTGCCCACCAGATTTAATCTATAACTGAAAACCATATTTGGGTAAGCTGACTATTAAAAGTCCACCCCCCTCTTCCCCTATTAGACACAATCCTTGGGGATGACTGCACACAGCTTGGGCTTGCAATGGAATACTGCAAAAGAACAGCAATGACACATTACATAGTATGTACCGTTCTATGGAGCAGTGAAGGTAAGAATCCTGGAATAAAATAAAAAAAACTAAACTATGGGGAAGGGGCTAAACTGTAGGTGTGGTTTCCCAACCCAAAAGTACACTTGAAAACAGAACTAAATGACATACTTGTCTCCCTTGATCCAGCGTTCTCCACTAGAATATCTCATCCTCTGTGTTCTCTGCATCTCTTGCCTCCAGTGTGGGGGAGTCTCACTTCTTCTGAATCGATCTCTAGATCTAGACCTTGATGGTGTGCGGTAGCGCTAGAAAAGAGACAACAGCATTTTTAGATGGTCAGTGATAAGTTATTCTAATTTTCAAAACTAAAAAACAACCAATTATCACAACAGCTCAATTCTTTTTGTTCAGAGTAAGAAAATAAAAAAATAAAATAATTCACTCTGGATAATACCTTTGCTCCAGTTTTCAGATATCAGCTCTAGTATGAGAAACCCAATAACATTTATAAAATGTTGTCCCAATAGAAGTCAGACATTTGTTTTCAGTTAATTAGCTGTTCTAGGCAGCTTGCTTTCATATATAGACCAACAAACTGTAAAAGAAGCATCCTTTATATATAAGGATCAAAAAGGAAAAGTCCCTAGAGCATCCCAAAACCCTTAGATCTTCAGAAAATTGATATCTGCCAAAAGATAGTGCGCTTCCTGACCTGGGACTGCGCCTAGACAGTCCGGTTTTGTAGCCGAATAGCTGTTTATCTGCAGTGTAAAATCTAAAGGCACTGCTGTCCGACTCAAAGGTCTCATGATATTTGATGTCACTGCTATGGTGCTCACTGTTCTTGCTAGAGAGGAAGATGTACCCAAGAACCTGCAGTCCAAGGATTTCTCTTATTTCTGCCTCATTCATTCTGTGCACCTAATGTTTTTTCTTTATCAGATCATTTTTATTAGGTTTTTCTTTAACCCCTTCGTGACTGACGATGTACAGTGTACGTCGCCAGCATCGGGGCTGTTTAAACAGACTCCCGGCGACTTTTGCCGCCGGGACTCTGTTAAGAAACAGGGACTTGGACCTAGATTAGTCAAATTAGATCTTAAACTCACAAATACGACCCTCATATGTCCAGATAATATGAAAAAATTCTAGGAGTACCCTTAATGTGTACGATAGTGTAGCCAGCTGGACCAGTGTAACAAAAAGGTATTTCACTAATCCCGTTATATTGATAAGTAATGCGTTCAGGATACTGAGGGAGGGATGGTGGATATCCATTTCCTTGCCACCAATATCCTAGCGGTGAATAAGGCTTTGTGTATGCACCTGATGCTTCTTTATCATTACCCCGCCAGTCGTTAGAGAGGTGGGTCTGACATGAAGAAGCAAAGCCCTGCATTTCTACTGAGATGGCCATCACCGCAAAGACACATTGGAGAACAAGGAATGATAAACCAGTAATGGAAAAAGATGACCTGCAGGGAGGCTAATGATGATACTATTGACTAATCCTTGGCCCTCCACTTGCCTTTTTGGGCATGACATCCACAGTACAGGTCCACTTTAAATCACTGGAATGGGAAAGGATTAAGACTGTATACAAGCATATACTTGTCAGAGAACACCACTAGTTCTAGTACTGCTCCACATTCATTTTGGACAATGAACACCTCTGATATCTGCCACAACATATAGGAAAAGAGGAAGGGCTTTAGTGTTGCTATAATGCTATTCCCAAATTGTACATACTATCAGAGCACTCATGGTAGCCCCGATTAAAAGGTTTGGGAAACAATGCAAGAAAGAAAAAAACAAAAAACAAAGACACTTACTCTGGGGCCTCTTCCTTTTATTTTTCTTCCAGACCTGGTTACTAGAAGTCTCCTCTGGTAAAGGGAATTGCTAAAACAAAAGATAATACAATAAAAATCAAAAATCAAGGAAAGCAAGCGTGGATGTAGTTTAGACTGTACACAACACCATCAGTCTGCAGCTTTACACATTTGAAGTTTGCTATTCTTGTAGACACCACTTGCCCGTCTCTGTCTCGTTCTCTGTCATTGCCTCTTCCGTCTTGCTCATCAACTCTCTGTGGACTCCTCCTCATTAAAAACTTGTTCTCTGGCACAGTGGGGATCTCTTCTGGACGTACAGTGGATGTGACTTGAACTTCATCTTCATGTTCACTCTCAGAACTAAGGAACATTTAATGTTAAATCATTTTTTTTTATTAGTTCTGCAACATTTAAAGTCTAGAGATACACAACATTCCGTAAAAAGAAAAAATACCAAGGATGGCAAAAGAACCATCTATACTTTATTAATATACAAAGAGCAGTGACTTAGAGCAACTGGTTACCACAATACTTCCCATTGCTTGCGAAAGAAAAAAAAAAAGGGAATGTTTCGAATACGAATACTCATCTCTAGAACAGCTTTCAATTTATAAAATCCTACAGAATTGGAAGCTGATGAAATTGACAAATACAACCAACATGGACCTGCACTAAAAACACTGTCCTGCCTTCCACCACTAAACTAAAACATTGTTAACTTTTCAATGGTTCTTGTAACTAATAATTAGGCACTGTCCTGTGACCTGCCACTAGTGAGAGCCTGAAGCACTGTTTTCTGAAAGTTAGATGGGAATTATACCATTAGATTAAGTGAGCAGGAAGGTCAGAAAAAATATGGTTTGTTATTTGAACGCCTTTAAAATTATCCTCTCAATAGCAGAGCAGCTAGTATGCTGGTTGGTACACATTTTGTTTTCAAAGGAGTCATGAGATCATGAACCTACATTCTTTTCACAGACAGAGCAGTCATTTTTCAAATACTACAATTAGAATATGTAATTTACATATTTGAGATATAGCTAGAGCTTAGCATAATTGTGCCTTTTAAATAATGTACCTCTTCTTGTTCTTTTTGTGCTTCTTTTTCTCCTTTTTCTGTTTCTTGGAAGTTTTCTTGTGTTTCTTTTTCTTCTTTTTTGATTTTCCCTCCTCTTCAGAGTCTGATGAACCAGAAGAGGAGTCTGAATCACTTGAATCTTCTGTGTCACTGGAGGAAGAAGATTTATGCCTCTTCTTCTCTTTCTTAGCTAGAACCAGAGACAAAACGCCAAACATTAGATCTGGGTCAAAGGAAATCTCACTGCCACCATCGGGACTCCCCAGGTGCTGGTCTAATAGGTGCGTCTCCACCTTGGAATTAGATCTGGGTCCCACACAACTCATCATACAATAACAAACCATCTATTATGGCTGGTACCTGCAAAGCCAATGTACCAATCCAGTACTGAAGACTGCCCTTACCTAAATCCTAGAAGCAGCGTAAGTTTTAGATAAGGTGCATCACGGTGAAGGATACAGCAGGGGTCCACTCTGCCCCGAAGTTCGCAAGGCTTTCTGCAGTCAAGTGACTATCAGTACTGGATGGGAGTTCTCAGGTAATAGCAGTTATGGCATGTTTCAAGTAGGAATTTCACATCACTTACACTTCGATTTCTGAACTTGAACAAGTTCCCCACAGTTCTGTATTCTGACTTCTGCACTCGGCTTGCTAGAAGCATCGGTTTTCTGATTTTCAATCTCTCTTACCACTTCTTGACCGGACAGCACTTGACCGAAGACAACATGGAGCCTGCAAAATTGTGGATGAGGGGGTAACAATCAATGAAATGAAAATAAATTTGTTACAGCCAAACAAAAACCCAAAACCAAAAATAGTATTTACCCATCCAAGTGAGGCGTCTGCTTTGTTGTTCTGAGAAAGAAAATAAGACACAATCAGATTGCTGAAATCACAAATCTATTGGTTAAAAATAGAAAGTGTGACCTGTTTTTTTTTTACAACTGTATCTATCCACATCCACACCAGTGGCTTACCTACAACTATAAGACTGTTAAATGAAACCATTACCGTTTATGTTTGAGGTCCACTGATTTAGAGGACTGAAAAATATCTGAACCCAAGAACAAAAATTTTATATATTGTATCTGATCAGTCCTTGAATGTGGTGCCTGCTTTGGTTTACATTTTTTTAGGCTAAGAACATTTTTAGCCAGTAGAGGAAATACCTGTTGAACATTCCAGAAATACAGTGTTCACTTCCTGTAAGCTGGACTGAAAGCAAAAAGAACAATATCTTTCTTCATTAAACAGCTAATCTCCCCATAATGGAGATAAAAAAAATGGCATATACAGTGGGGAAAAAGAGTATTTAGTCAGCCACCAATTGTGCAAGTTCTCCCACTTAAAAAGATGAGAGGCCTGTAATTGGCATCATAGGTAGACCTCAACTATGAGACACAAAATGAGAAAACAAATCCAGACAAATCACATCGGCTGATTTGGAACGAATTTATATTTGCAAATTATGGTGGAAAATAATTATTTGATCACCTACAAACAAGCAAGAGTTCTGGCTCTCACAGACCTGTACCTTCTTCTTTAAGAGGCTCCTCTGTCCTGCACTCATTACCTGTATCAATGTGTCCAGCCTGGGTGACAACTACGCATACAATGGAGAAGTGAGTGTAGCCACCCAAAGACAGCAAATGTGTTTTTTGCAGGATTACCAGGTGAAAAGAGAGAAAAGAAAAAAAGAAAAAGGAAAACCAAAGTAGCCACCACATTTAAGGATATTCCATTTTTGTTGTGGGGTTTAAATATGTTGTAATTTAGATGGTAACGTTAATCTTACCCAAAGAGCTGTGAATATTGCTTTGTAAACCAAAATTATATGCAAGATCTATTGATTACAGTGGGTGACCTTATAAAACACTGGCAGGCATTGCAGTATAGACTGAATATTGACAGAGGAAGTCACTGTAAACTAGATGAAATGTCACGACAGGTGTCCTTTTCATTTTGAACAAAAATGCTTTTACTTCTGGAAAACTGAAAGCAGCGCGAGACAAGATCTAGGACCAGAACCCTCAACAGAACTGCAATTCCTTGATTCTGTATTACTGAGAGGCGGGCTGTTAATTCCCACCTGGCTCAATAGGTAAAGAGAACGTTTAAGCTCTCTTTGGTGTAGCACTTCTCGAAAATCCAGACAGTATTATACAAAGAGGATGGCTTGAATTTTTTTCCCCCCCATTTCAATTTTCAAACTCAGCTCCACCAATACATACATAAAAAACTGAGAGCCATTGGTGTCCTTGCCCCGGTTGGCCATGGACAGGAGGAATTCCTTGTTGTGTTGAACAGAGAAATTCTCATCTGAAAGGACAGAGAATCATTTTTACTTGCCTTGTCATAAACAGCTGAGCGGATGCAAAACAAACTAGAATTAGCGCAAATACAGTATAACTTATAAAAAGTGTTCCCTGAAAACATGAGTTGATTACCTGATAACTCTGTTTCCAGGAATCTTCCAGGACAGCCATCGAGATATAGGCTCCGCCTGCCTGCAACAGGAAACACATCAACCACATTAAATAAATAGACTCCTCCTTCCATCCCAAGTCAGTAACCTCTAGGACCGAAGGCTACCCCATGCACAAAAGTATCCCCTCCTTCCCCTTTAAAGTGATATTAAAGTCAAAAGATAAGCTTTTAAGCCATTTCAAATGCTGATGAAATCACTTACAATGGATGCTGCTCCTTCATGTTTAAAAGTCTTAATTTCCTCTAGAATCAGCTGGTCCCCTGAGCACTGACAGCCTGTATTAGGGTGATTCATTTCTCGAAGTGTGTGTGTGGTGTGTGACCTCTGACTCTACAAACATAGCAAATCAAGCTATTCTCCCCCCCCCTCCCTTCTCAAAGCTAGTAGATGAAAAGTTGCTGGAGATTTCTCTCCCTTGTGATCTTGTACTGGAGAGGATGCTCACGGAGGCCGAGCTGAGAGACTTGGAAGCAGCTGTTCATAAACATGATGACTAAGTGTTTGGGCTAAAAATGTAAAGCAATTCTTTGCTGGGCAATGTTCGTTTGATGTGGATTCATTATTGAGAGAAAAAAAAAAAGTTTGAGAGTTTAATACTACATTAACCACTTAAAGGCCATAGTGTTTCACCCCCTTCCTGGCCAGGCCATTTTTCAGTATTCAGCGCTGCGGTACTTTGACTGATGTTTATTCTGTCATGCAACGCTTTTACTGACATTTATTGCATAAGGACAGCTTAGGTTGAATTCTATGGTTACTGGTAACCCAGAAATCTATGTAATTATATTATGGATACAGTTACGACATACCTAAAATTCAAATACAATGTTAAATATTCATAGTTGGAATCTGCAGACTTGATCATAAAACATTTAGGGCCCATTCACACCACATCATCTCCAGACCAGATTGTTTCTGGACCCAAAATGCATCCTAATGTATCACTATGCTATTTCTGGCCTCTGTTCACACCAGCGCAGCCCGTTCCAGACCAGAAAAATACTGCAGATCTCATTTTGTCTGGTCTGCAATGCTCTGGAACTGCGGGCAGGTTCACACCATTTTCCGGACCGGATGTGGTCCCGAAAATGGGGTGAACCTGCCCTTAACTTTTCAAGTTACACAAATCTGCAGCTTATTGACAATAAAAATACGCATTACCCACCATTAAAAATATTTATGGGACTAACCAGCTTTAAAAAAAATTATTCTATTGGTTTAAAATACTAGGCTGTTGGAGGTTTCCCTAATATTAGAATTTTGTAAGGAAGCATAGTTATTTCTTACATGTAGCACTGTGAACACAGAGCCTTAAAAAAAAAAAAAAAAAAAGTCTAGGCTTGGCTTAGT